CACAGCAGGGGAGGGAGGGAGGCTGGTCCAAGAGCTGTCCTCGAGGGAATGAGGGGCTCCTGCCTCATAAAGAGTGCAGGTGCCTGCTTTGCGGACCGGAGGAGGAAGCAGCTCGTCCCATTTGGCTTGACTAAATGACTTAAACATTCTCTGGCTGCCGAGTGCCACCTTGGCAGCACGGGCCACGATGGATGAAAGAATGCTCTGATTTGTGCTCTTATCTCTACATTGTAGAGATGAATGAAGGGGAAGGAGGGTTTCTAAGCCCAGCTGCCTCTGCTGGTGGTCAGGACACAGCCAGACATTTCCAACGGAGCGTGGGTGTGGGCTCTTAGCTGAGGGGTGCAAGAAAGCACCTCTCTCTTCGCTTGGTGACCGTCCGCCTCACCCAACGTGTTTATAGGTTTATACCGATTTTCCTAAGCTCTCCCTTACTCATCCCCTCCCATTCTGGAGTCCTGTGTGTGTATGTGTGCGTGTGGGCACGCGTGTGTGTGTGCTCGTGAATATATGTGCTTCTCCTTCCCTCCGCCGCAGGCAGGGAAAGACTGAGCCCTTAGCTCTGAGGAGGCATGAGAAGGTCCCGCAGGAGGACCCCCCGTCTCAGATGCTCAAGGTTCCTATGACCTTGGGTTCTCTCTGGAATTGCTGCAGGGTTAGAGGAGACTTTTTAGAGTATAAAATATGCTGACAGATCTCTGGGGTAAATTTTCTTCACTGTTAGGACTAACCCCGATTTAAATCGGAACTGAGTTGCAAAGAAACTCCTACATGTTTTATTGCCATTTGGGGTTTCATCAGAAGCTACTTCACTGCAGGAAGAATGGCCTGCAGTGGCTGCTACTCGGCTACACTCACTTACACCTGACCCCACTTCCACCTGGCCTAGGGGTCCCAGGAGCCGGCACAGTTAGTTGGGGTTTAGAGAGTCCCCAAGAGACCTCTGTCTTCGGCTGCCCTGGTGAGGCGGCATGTAGCTTGAGCTGGCCTGATTCTCTGTGTTCACTCTGATGGGAATGGGAGTCTATGAAAAGTCGGTGCCATCAGACCTTCCACAGGCGTCCTGTGGAGTTCAGGGCCAGATCTGAAATGAAATGGACCCAGGGCTCACCATGCAGCGAGGAGTACAGCCTGAGGTCCCGACTTTTTTCCGCCCCCAGGATAGTCCCCCTACCTCTGCTGAGCTTTCTCTAGTGCAAGTCCTAGGGAGTTCTGGGTTCTTTCTTTCACCTCTGCGGGCTTCCCCAGAGTTTCTTTCTCTCAGGGTGAGCAGTTAGTGGGGAGAGTCCTCGAGACCCTTTCCCTGCTTCTATGACGGGGGCTGCTGGAGGCGCTGGGTCCCACGCCCCTCTGTACCAACCCATCATTCTCAGGGCTCATCTGCTATTTTTCAAAAGTTTTTGGCAGAAGGTGTTTACTTTTCTACCTTTCCTCATTCTGTGGCTGCTTTTTTTTTTTTTTTTTTAACAATTCTAGCTCGCTTTGTGAGGAGCTGGGGCAGAGAGATTCTGTGAGTCTGCTTCATTCAGTACCTTTACCACTCAGACTGATTTTATATGTTGAATTCAACCCAGAGTCTGAGCTGGAGGCGGTGGGAGGCAGCTGCGCCCATGTGGAGGGTCACTGGTTCATCGAAGACACCTGCACACATATGGAGAGGTGCTCCTGGGGGCGCAGGGCAGCTGAGGGGAACATAGATGCTGGAATGAGCAAGCACTGGGGACAGAAAGGAGGTGGCGAGCAGGGAACATCTAGGGCAGAGAACAGAACTTGACTGGAGGCCCTAGATGGTCAGGGCACCTGCAGGCCCAACCTGGACGAACAGAAAGCAGGAAGAATAGGGGGCTGGTGTCCTATACGCCGTGGGTGGCTGGCGCTGGCCTCAGGGAGGCCGGGGCAGGCCAGCTACCCAGGAGACCTCCTCACCACCCACCCTTCTCTGCATCCTGGCAGGGAGCGGGGCCAGAGGGAAGCAGTGTACGGTTACTGGCAGCTCTGGGATCTTTTCATTAAAAAAAAAAAAACCTTATTAAAATGTAATTCATGTGCCACACAATTCACCCATTTAAGGGGTGCAATTTATGGCTTTTAGTATATTCGTAGATATGAGCAACCATCACCACAGTCCCAGAGGGGCCCATGAAATGGTGGGTAACTCTACCACAGTTCACGACCTGGTTTCCTTCTAGGAACCTACTTCCAAGCCTGAGGAAGTGTCTATAGTCACTGAACAAACCACAGAGGTCAAAGATCTGTCAAGTTATTTCCTGGATCAGAACTTGCCTTATTTTTTTTCCTCCTTACATTAGTCTTTGGTGCCTGAACTTTGAGTTTTGGAGCAAGTCACGGGGCTTGAGAGAGCAGGCAGCCCATCCTGGCGCTGGTTTGGTGGGGTTTTGCCATCCGGCCCCGTCCTGCCCCACAGCCTACAGAGAAAGGAACGGGCGGCGGCAGCACCACCACTGGCCACAGAGGGGACACCAGATCCCTACCCACCGCGAGGAGCTGCTGGGAAAACGAGCGTGAGCATCTCTCGGTGAGCACTCGCTGTAGCCCAGGCTTCCTCATACGGATTGTGGGGGGCCATTTGTGGAAACGAGATCCTCCAACCACTGTTTCCCATTTTTCTGAGTTTACACGGGGTTGGTTTGTTCTGGCTTTCCAGCGTTTTTAGTGCACAGACCTCTTCAAGAGGCATTTGACTCCGGCTGGTCCAGCTCATTATTCCAAAGGAAAAGAACCAAATCACAGGAATTCAGGGGTCTGAGAGGAACGCTCCCATGGGTGCCCGAGGATGCCACCACAGCACCGAACAGGATGGAGGAAAAGTAGAAACAGCCTAACGCTGGCCCACAGGGGCATGGAGAAGTCAACTGGGGTTTGTTCGTATCATTGAATCCAGCACCAGTTAAAAAAGGAAGGAGTATATGTAAGCTGCTTGTATCCATCTGCCAAACCATGCACCATGCCCAGCTTGATACTGTTTACAGAAAGTTAGAGTCAACAGGAAAGATACTATTTATGCTCAGTTGCTCTTCCCACAAAGAATCGTGTAACAGCGGGTGTATATTTGTAGACACAAACCACAGGTAGGACGTGACCTGGCAGCTACCTCTGGGCACAGGGAGAATGCCAGGTCGCAGCCAGCAGGACTGAGCCGACTCTAATGATACCTCCCCTTAATGAGGAATCTTCTGTTGAGTCTGCATGATGGGTGCACAGATATGTTGTCTATTTGTGGGACTTTTTTTTTTTTAAGATTTTATTTATTTACGAGAGAGCACAAGTAGGGGGAACAGTAGAGGGGGAGGGAGAAGCAAGCTCCCCCACAAGCAGGGAGCCCGATGCGGGGCTCGATCCCAGGACCCTGGGATCATGACCCGAGCCGAAGGCAGACACTCAACCATCTGAGCCACCCAGGCGCCCCTGTGGGACTTTTTAAATAGACTTGAACTAGGGGCGTGTGGGTGGCTCGGTGGGTTAAGCGTCCCACTCTTGATTTCGGCTCAGGTCAGGATCTTAGGATCGTGAGATTGAGCCCGGAGTCAGGCTCCACACTGCGCTCTCTCTCTCTCTCTCTCTCTCTAAAAAACAACAACCAAAATATGCTTGAACCAGTCCAGGATTTAAAAACGTTTTAAAAATGACCTTGTGCCAGGGCCAGGAGGGAAGAGAGAGAATTAGGGCGGGGACACAGCTATGGAGGGGGCTCATTGCAAAGCTGGGGGCGTCCGGGGCGTGCTCTGTGGGTGGGAGGGTGGGGGGTGCCCTCCAAGGTGCTCCCAAAAGAAGGTCTTGGATTTTAGGTTAGTCAGCGTCAACACCCCCTGCCCCTGAGCTGCTGTTCAGGTACTTTGAGGGTGAGCTGATCCATGATCTGCACCTAGATAGACCGCACGCTTGTGACCCAGCCAGAGAGTCTGCGCAGGCCCGCTGCACTGGGGCCCCTTCGGAGACCTGCCCGTCTTCAATCCGCACGCCCTGCCGGCCAAAAGGTGGTGGCCTTTATGACTTACTTGGAGTCCTTGGTTTTCGTTTGGAATGGTTTTCTAGTACACTTTTGCAAAGTGTCATTCCCTAGCACGTGTCCTGAGTGTCTCAGGACCAGTGTCCTGGGGCCACGCCAAATAAAAGCAGTGTGCTTTCTGTGTAAACACCCCTCCCCCAGCCCTGCTTCCCACCTGTTCCCCCCACCCCCTCGCCGTGGCCTGTGGGTGCCTCCTCTGGTTGCTGGGGGGCTGGATGGGCCGTCCAAGCCCTCCCATTTATTCCAGGCCGTGTCCCTCCACCTTCGGCCGTTCTCATCCCTAAGGAGCCCTGTTAGACATTTCCTCCCTCACGGTGCTCCCGCAAGATAGTAATATCACAGGTGTACTGAATGTCTGTTTATGCACGGCTGTGCTTTGTACATATAAGGGTAAGAATTTTTGCTCAAGAACCAATTTTCGACCCCTTGGGGGCTACGTCACCCCAGTTGAGAATGCATGTTCTGGATCTCTGGATCAAGCTTGTAAATCAGCTCCCCCGGGGCCAAGGGCAGTTTCCTGTGCTTTTTTTTTTTTTTTTTAAAGATTTTATTTATTTATTTGAGAGAGAGAGAGAATGAGAGAGAGAACATGAGGGGGGTAGGGTCAGAGGGAGAACAGACTCCCCGCCGAGCAGGGAGCCCCATGCGGGGCCTGATCCCAGGACCCCAGGATCATGACCCGAGCCGAAGGCAATCGCCCAACCAACTGAGCCACCCAGGTGCCCCTTTCCTGTGCTTTAAAGGCAAATTCAGTGTCCTCGCTCTTCTCCGGAGAGAGGAATTGATTTGAAATCAACAGTAAGGATGGATAATCAGCGCCCCTGCCCGGGCCATCGGACACCATCCTGTCCAGATGGTCGTTTCCCTCCGCGCCCGTGACCTGGGCCAAGGGGGTTGGGCTGGAAAGGCCTCCGCGGGCCTGGAACCAGCCGTCCACGGCCGCCCTCTCCTTCCAGCGCTCGGGAGCCCGGCCATGGCGGCGCTGCGCCGCACAGAGTCCACACTGACAGTGCTGGACGAGGACTCGCTGTGGGAGCTGCTGGAGAACCACCGCCACAGGATCGTGCGCAGCATCTGCCCCAGCCGCCTCACCCCCTACCTGCGCCAGGCCAAGGTGCTGGACCAGCTGGACGAGGAGGAGGTGCTCCACAGCCCCAGGTTCACCAACACCGTCATGAGAGTCGGTGAGGACCCCCGGCCCCATGCCGCCGGCTCCAGCAGGCCCCCTCTTTGCCACGCCAGCTCCACACAGGCCGTGCCGCGAAGCCCGGGGGCCAGGCAGGGAGCGCAGGACTTTAATGACCTGGGGGCGTGGGGACACTCTAGTGCCTTCCCGGGGCTGCCCTAACAGATGCCCACAAACCGGGTGGCTTAGACCGGCAGAGACGTATTCGCCCGTAGTTTGGGATTCAGGTGTGGGCAGGGCTGCACTCCCCGGAAGGCTGTAAGGGGCACATCCTTCCCTGTGTCTTCCTGGTGACCCCAGGCGGCCCTCGGCTTGTGGCCACACCCCTCCAGTGTCCGCCTCTGTCCTCGAGTGGTCTTCTCTGTCTGCTCTTCTGTTTCTTACGAGTGCACTTGTCATTGGAGTCAGTGGGTTCAGGGCCCCCCTGGATAATCCAGGATGATCTCATCTTGAGATCCTTACCGTAATTCCATCTGCAAAGACCCTTGTTCCGGATAAGCTGCCATTGACAGGTTCCAGGTGGAGGTACCTTGGGGGGGCCACAATTCAACCCACTCCAGATGTCTTTGGAGCCGACTCTGACAGTCTGACTAGCTATGTTTAGTCACTGAAAACCAGGGAAGCTAATAGCTTCACGCTGTCAGATTGTTAGGAGATCGGATGAGACAGTTTGTAAGATACTCATCTCCAAGCCGGGGCCAGAGGAAGCAGGCAGTAAGTGGTCGCTATTAACATGATTCTATTTCCGCCTGTTCCTTATGAACCTCAGATATAGGAGAAAGGAATCCAAGCCACTAAGTCAGGCTGAGAGCCATGGGATTGGGGTGGCGGGCTCCCTGGGACTCGGGCCCTGGGGCATTGCCGTTTGCTTCTTTCACCCCATAAGCTTTGTACACAGTGTCTGTACATGTCCACCAACATACCTGGGAGGTCTTGAGAGCAAAGGTCATCTTCCTTAGTCTTGTATGGCCAGCTCTTAGTACTTGGGTTATAGTAGTCGCTCAAGGAAGATCAGCCCGGCCCTTCTGGAGACCAGCAGCATTAAAGGACCCACGAGGGCAGTGAGGGCACCTGCCCCCGGGGATTCTGGAAAACTGCTTTCACCTCCTGATTCCTAGATGTGTGAGGATTTCCTCCACCCCCCCCACACGTGTATCCCAGGGCAAGCCCACCCAGAGCCTTGTGAGCTGACACGGTTTTCTCCCCCAAGGGCACTTGCTGGATCTGCTGAAGACACGAGGGAAGAACGGAGCCATTGCCTTCCTGGAGAGCCTGAAGTTCCACAACCCTGACATCTACACCCAGGTCACGGGGCTGCAGCCCAAGGTGGACTTTGACAACTTCAGTGGTGAGGGCTGGGTCTTGGGGCTGGTGCTTTCTTCAGAGCCTCTGGGTCCTAGTGCCTGCATGCTCTTCCAGATGCTTCTCCTGAACCCCCACCCCCAGGCCTCTGGGGGTGAGGAGACCCCCACTAATCATGCGCAGGTGATAGAAGAAGGAACCCGTGGCCTCTGGTTCTAAAAGAAAAGATCTTGGGGCGCCTGGGTGGCTCAGTGTGTTAAGCGTCTGCCTTTAGCTCAGGTCCTGATCCCAGGGTCCTGGGATCTAGTCCTTCATCGGGCTCCCTGCTCAGGGGGGAGTCTGCTTCTCCCTCTCCTGCCTGCTCTCTCTCTCAAATAAAATAAATGAAATCTTTAAAAAAAAGAAAGAAAAGAAAAGATCTGTCCCTAACTATGCAGTACTAACAGGGGACTCCTCTTGGGGCACAGAATCTACATTTGAGAGGTGTAGGGAGAGGGCATGTATGTCCTTTCCCTAGAAACGCTCCTGAGGTGGCCCTAGCCTTGGCTTACATGGAAGGGGCAAACGGGTCCTGGGGCGGCTTCTGCTGGGAGAGGCCCCTGCCGGAAGGGAGGAGGAGAGGAGCGGGCAGCCTTCCACACCTTTGCTCAGCCAGAGAAGGAGAGATCTAGCCGACCTGATGGGAAATAAGGCCATTTTCATTAATTGAGTGATTTTAGGCTTCCTTGGAGGAGCTGTGGAAAGATTTTGGTCTACAAAGGGCAGGACCAACATCACTCAAAACTGGATGAGAAAACTTTTCCGCCTGTTTGGCGTCATAGTCCATGGTTAGGTTAGCTAGAATGCTCCTGTATGGACTCATATTCCTTGTTATGTTTCTCTTAGGATGACGTGGAGATGAGCTGGTATTGAACACACCTCAGCTAATGAGGGGGAGCTGGGTCTGCACAGCAGGGTCCCACAGGGAGGCTGCGGGGGGTAATCCTGGTTGCAAAATCACCAGTCATGCTATTTATATAACCAAATATTGAGTCCGGTTGAGCCCAGAAGTTTTTAAGGAAACCCACAGATTAGGGGGTTCCTGCTTGAGAGTCTGAGCAGAGGAAGCAAAGCCCCTGGGGGACAAGGAGGGAGGGCAAGGTGGCTCACCCGCCCCCCCTCCTCCGCAGGGCTCATGGAGACTTCCAAGCTGACCGAGTGCCTGGCCGGGGCCATCAGCAGCCTGCAGGAGGAGCTGAGCCAGGAGAAGGGACAGAAGGAAGCCTTGCTACGGCGCTGTCAGCAGCTGCAGGAGCGCCTGGGCCAGGCCGAGGCCCGCGCCCAGAGCCTGGGCCAGATGGAGGCCGACCACGACCGCATGAAGCGCGAGGTCAGTGCCCACTTCCACGAGGTGCTGAAGCTCAAGGACGAGATGCTCAATCTGTCCCTACACTACAGCAACGCGCTGCAGGAGAGGGAGCTGGCCACCACGCGCTGCCGCAGCCTGCAGGAGGAGGTACGAGGGATGGCGCCCCAGTCCCCCGCCCGGGGCCCCTCCGGTGCTGGCCTCTGCGGCCATGAGCCGCCCTGCCTGGAATCCCCTGAGGACTGGCTGGCCCGGGAGGTGCCCTCAGTGGGTGGGGAGGCCCGCCCTGGGCCCCACCACCTTGGACACACCTGGGATCCACCTTGCTCCGGCGATGTCGGTAACCTGGGGCCCATGGGCCTCTGCCCGCCCCTCCTGTATCGTTCTCAGAGGGGCCTGGGTCTGTGCAGTAGGCCAGAGTGTCATCAGTGAGGCCCTCAGACCCCCAAAACACCTTTACTCATTTTTCTGCTGGGAGCCACTATCTTCTGATTGATTTGTAGCAGTTCTTTAAATACTGAGGACATTCATTTCTTATCATCTTGGCATCTGTTGGTTGCCTTTAACTGTGGCTTGGTGTGTTTGTTTTTAGTTTTTACATCCTAACTATATTTAGAAATCATTTCAAATTTATAAAAAAATACAAATAAAAATATCATCAACCCTTAAACTGCACGAACCCACTTAAAGCCAGATTTTTTTTCCATAAATGCAGCACTGTAAATGTAATTTTTCTTCCTTATGATTCTCTTAAGGACCTTCTCTTTGCCCTAGCTCGCTTTACGGTTAAGAATACAGTGTATAACGCATATAACACACGGAATGTGCTAATCGGCTATTCATGGGATCAGTAAGGGCAGGCTCTTAGGAGTTAAGTCTCGGGAGGGAGGTTCAAAAAGTTGTAGTGGGTTTTCTTCCTTCCTTCCTTCCTTCCCTCCTTCCCTCCTTCCTTCCTTCCCTCCTTCCCTCCTTCC